AAATAACATAATTAACCATTCTGAGAAAGCAGAAGAAATGTCATCATAGCACACAACTTCATTCTACCAAACTATCAGCCATAATAATCATAAGACTGATTAATGATTTCACTAAATTGGGACACCTGCATTAAAATCTAGTGAAAGAGACAGAAGCATGTAAATGAGTTAGGTTTTATCTACCAAAATAAGTCAACAGACTAAACCAAAAGAAATAAAGAAAGAGAAAACCAGAAGCAGGTATGGTCCCAAGCCCTCTGGGAGCCTAAGGCAGGAAGACCAACAAAAGTTCAAGTCTAGCCTAGACAATATGCAAAAACCCTATTTCAAAACACTAAAAAACAAAAAGCACTGGGGATATTTTTGATGGTAGAGAATCCCTAGCATTGATTCCCAAGTACCTGGGGAGCGGGGAGGCACAACCCAAAACAAAAATACAAATCAAAACAAGCATGGTTAGCACTTAACATCTATCAGATTAGCCATAAACCTCAATTTTAAACACCATTTGTTAAAAATAAGATGTACAAGCTAGATGCATTGCCACACACATGTAATCCCAGCTATGAGGGAGGCTAAAATAGCAGGATTCACAAAAATCTAAAGAACTTATAATTGTTTTTGGTTGGAATAAAAATCTCAAGAGGAATCAATAAGCTGGGTATGGCAGTACACTCCAGATACTAAAGAGGCTGAGGAAGGAAAATCAGGAGTTCAAGCCAGCCTGGGCAGCCTACCAAGACCTTGTCTAAAAATATAAGGAGGACTGGGGATACAGCTCAGTGCTAAGCACTTGCCTAGTATTTTCAAAACTTGAGTTCAATACGAAGTACCATTAAAAAAAATGGAAGTTTATCATCACAAATGGTAAAATCATTAATAATTGCAAGGACTCACAGCATTTCAAAACGTTAACCCAGAAATTACTTATTAATAACAAGGAGGAAAAGGAACCCTTACTATGCAAATATTTGACAACCATAACCAAGTAAAGGCATCATCAAAAACAGGACCAAGAGACATTGAGTGCCCTGTGAAATTACAATACTGTGCTCAAAATTCACCACTCATTTTTGCAAAAAAATGCTTACCTTGAATCTAATTACGAGCAAACAAATGAATTCACATGGGAAGAAAGTACAAAAGATTCAGATTATTAAAAAATATGTCACTGAGCATGGCTGGCACACACCTATAATCCCAGCACTCTCTGAAGCTTAGGTAAATGGATGAAGAGTTCAAGCCCATTCTGGCAACTAAGGCATTAAGGGAACCCAGTCTCAGGATTAAAAAATGGCGAAGAATGGAGCTCTGTGCCAAGGCCTCAGGTTCAACCCCAGAACCTGGGGGTAGAGGTAGGGGCAGGGGTGGGATTGTTCCTCTCAGAGGATAAAACAAAACGGGCAGGCAATTTTCCAAATCATAGAAGCTGCTTAAAGAGGAATGACAGTGCCGGGCGTGGTGGTGCATGCCTGTAATCCCAGCACTCAGGAGGCTCAGGCAGGAGGATCGTTGCGAGTTCGAAACCAGCCTGGGCTACAAAGTGAGCTCAAGGCCAGCCTGAACTGCATAGCAAGACCCTGTCTCAAAAATATAATAAAAATAAATAAATAAATAAAAATAAAAAATACAGAGGCACGACAATTAAATCTAATATAATACCTCCACTGGACTACAAATAGAAGACAAAAAAACTATTACAACATTGATTAGAAAAAAAATGAGCGCCAAGATATTAATGATACTGTTTCAGCCTTAAGTTTTTTTTTTTAATTGAGATGAGGGTCTCCCTTTCATATTTTTTGAGCAAGGTCCTGTCACACTGCCCAGGGCACTCAAACTTACAGCCTAGTACCTCAGTTTTCCAAGAGCTAGGATTAGAGGTATATGCCACCACATCCAGCTTCAAGTAAGTGTGATAATAATGACACTGAGAATGTCCTTGATCTCTGGAGATACGTGAAAGATTCAGAAGTGAAATATGACACAACTCACCCTCAAATGATTCAAGGGAAAAGTCTGTAAGTGTACGCAGAGACACAGTAAATTTATTAAACAACTGAGTCCACTTTGGTCTATTAACAATTGTCTTGTATGTACCCGTCTGTTCAATTTATGACTGGCTGCAACATCTACAGTTATGTTTGAGCTCAACATTCTTCTCTTCCTTTTGCTTTTTTGGATTTGAAAAATATTTATGTCTACAATTCAAGTTGGTTTATAGATAACTGTCATTAGAGTTAAGGAAATACTTCCACCCAGGTTATCAACTGATCAAAATGATGTAAAGACTGGTTTTACAAATGCAATGTATGCTTTCTGTGTACAATAACTTGAAGAGTTTTACATCCATCAAGAATTACATGTTAATTGTTATGACCTGGTTCTTCCATGTCATCTGAAATACTTATTAATGTAATTAAATGGGACCCCTTAGGCTTGAGGGAACTGCTGGATGAGATTCCCGTTGGTGAATAAAGGAGCAGCTGCCTGGAAACACCTATTCCAGTCAGTATTCACCAATGGGACCCCAATAATTTCCATAGCTTTAAGGGAGACACACTCCAATAAACATTGTTAAACATGTTACTGTAATATGGTATGTTTACACTGGTAATCATCAAAAGGTTAAGTTTTCTGTGGGTAAAGCACTAAGGTTTTAGGTTTTTTTGAGGCAAGGTCTTACTATGTAGTACAGGCTGGCCTCAAACTCACTATGCAGCCCAGGCTGGCCTTGAACTCATGGCAATTCTCCCATCTCAACCTCCTGACCAGGTGTGGTAGATTACAGAAATGCACCGCCACACTTGGTTAACACAAAAGTTTTCTTATTAAAGGATGCTCAAAACTAAATTAAGAGACAAAAGTTTCCATATAGCTGTGTCACTCACTATTGCTTATTTCATTGTGTACTAAAGATACTCATGCCTTCCAGGTGTACAAACCTTCTAAGAGATAAAACTATGATTGTTTATGATAATAATCTTTTCATTTAGACAGAAGTAGTAATGCATGCCTATAACTCCAGCACTCAGGAGGCGGAGGCAAGAGGATTGCTATGAGTTTGAGGCCAGCCGGGGCTATATAAGCAAGTTTGGCCAGCCTGCATTACATAGTAAGACTCTGCCTCAAAAAAAAAAAAAAGAAAAAATCTTTTCTTTTAGACTCAGACTTCTGCCTTTCTCTTGTGCTCCAACTACTTGTGATAAGAGGTATATGGCAAGCCAAGCTGGGACCACTAGTCAAATTATATTTTCAAAAAGCTTGCCAGGCATGGTGGTGTACACCTGTAATCTCAGCACTCAGGAGGCTGAGGCAGGAGGATCGCTGCGAGTTCGAGACCAGCCAGGGCTATAAAATGAGCTTAAGGCCAGCCTGAACTGCATAGGGAGACCCTATCTCAAAAAGACAAAAAAAAAAATTTTTTTAAATAAAAATAAAAAGCTTATGTGATGTGTATGTTACATATGCGTCACTACACTTAGAGATGCTCAGCCACTCAGCAGTCCACATAACATACTTCCTCAACATCATCCTATTAGAAGATAACAAACTAGGTGGGAGCTTGTGTACTGGATGGAAATGACTGACCGAAAAGGCTATTCTATACTTAGGACGTTTAAATGTGTTTCAAATATATTATCATGATTGTACAATATCATGATGGTCATGCTGAAATACTACATATAGCTCTTAATCTCAAGTTTTCTCTAAGTTTATAATTGTGGTCCATTACCAGTTTGCAGGAATTCCACTCCTGAAACCACCATGACTGGTAAGAAATAACAGCCTTCTGGCTATACTGTATATTTCAAAGTGCTGAATACTCAGATGAGATTAGAATATTTACACTCACTGCTCTCACTGCAATACTAGCGTAACTGATCTTCTCTTCTGCGTGTCCAACATCTCAAGTTTGGAGACCATAACTAGAAAGGAATTGGGCTAAGAGGAAAGCCAGTATTTTTCCTCCATGAGGAAAGCCAATATTTTGGTTTCGGTCCTCGAGGTTAATGAGAAACCAGCATATGAAGGAACCTTTTCTAAGGGCTTCTATAGCTTTGTGAGTCACCTGACCTCCTGAGCAGGGAGACTACCGGACCCAAGAGGACAGGAATCAACAAATGTACACTGTGCCAAAAAAGAGGGTTCCCAAAGAAGGGGAAGTCTCTCATGCTTTCACAGAAAGCAACATGGCAAGCAAGAACGTGGCTGACACTGACAGAGGAGTTGTGAGGCTCTGTACATGGTTCCAAAAGTATGCCTGAGAATGCGTAACTGACCTTGGTAGACTGTAAGAGGTTAATTGTAATTAACATAGGTTTCACTTTAAGTCTTAAAACACCCAGCAGGCTAGAGATATATAGCTCAGTGGCATAGTGCCTGCCTGGCAAGTGCAACATCCTGAGCTTAATTCCTGGTACCAAAAGAAAAAAAAATACCATAATAATAAAAGCTAGATATGAAAAGAGGCTCCAACTGCTAATTCCTTCTGGCAGTTTCCAGCTAGCTACACTGGTAGCTGACCATTATCATGGTCCAGTAAGGCTAAAAAACTACGGTGGGAAGCTGGGCGTGGTGGCACATGCCTGTAATCCCAGCACTCAGGAGGCTGAGGCAGGAGGATCGCTGTGAGTCTGAGGCCAGCCTGAGCTACAAAGTTAGGTCAAGGCCAGCCTGAACTGCATAGTGAGACTCTGTCTTAAAGAGACCAAAAAAATAAAAAATAAAAAAACCCTACAGTGGAAGCTATAAAAGCTCAACAAGAGTCTTTAAATGAGTTAGCTAAAACTGTCCTTTCAAAACCACCAACTTCTCCACCTTCTTACAGCTAAAACTAGAGGGACTTATGACAAGAAATATCAGGCTTATTGATAACTCCTATCACTAGAGGGGTCTAAGGGCAGGTAGTTATAATCACTATTCCAGTCCCCTAATGGTAGGGAGGGAAGGGATTGGGAAAAAACTGGAAAATTTTAAAGAGTAAGAATTATACTTACGGCTAAGAGCTGTCGTATGAGCATATCTGAGGCTTTCTCGGAAATGTTTCCCACAAAAACCGTAGTAGTAGGACCACAGTTCTCATCATTCTCTTTAGCCTTTAAGCCTGGATGATCCTTTCTTGCTCCCAAATGCTTTCCAACCATGGACACAGTAGGTACTAGGACCTGAGGTAAAGCAAGACAATAAAATTTTATCTGAGAACTTTCTATGACATTTGAAGTAATGTAAAGTGAAAAATATCAACTTTAAGACAATACAAGGTATAATCAAACTATAAGGTGAATGTTTAAATTTTTAAAATTCATTACAGTAAGACACATTGCCTTTAGTCACCATCAAAATACTCTCCCTTCAGTTCCAACATACTTCTCCCATTGTTCCTGTCACTTTCCGAAGCTATGCTAGAAATCCTCTCATGTCTTTGAGATGTGATAAAAATATTGTTAGGGCTACTGCTAATTGGCCACCCAACTGAGAGGCAGGCTTGTACAAACGTTACAGTATATCCTTCCCTACTTCATTCAAAGGGCCTACTGCTACGCAACTCCTGGCTTTTCCCAAAAGTCAAAGTGACCATGAAAGGTAAAAAGGTTTAACAATCAATTTAGGACACTGAAGCCCCAACTTCAGTTTAGAACACAACTAAAGATATTCATGAAAGCATTTCCAGAACTGCTTTTACAAAGTGGCTGACAGGCTAAGTGTTCCAAGTGAAGGTGTTCGTGTTAGGGGGATTAACATTAATGCTTCTTTTACTGTAAGAAATTACTCTTAAACTCTCACCATACTTTCATATCACATCTCATAGAGCACATTATTAAAGCCTTTCTTTCAAGCTCTTAAAGTAAATGGCACATTTCATGAATGCAAATTTCTTCGAACAAAAAAGTTTCCACTATTAGACTGCCTTTGGGAATAAAGATAGAATAAAAACTAGGTCAGTTTTTAAGACAAAAATTTTAATGTTTAAATCATAAATCATTTGATTATCAAAAATATCTGTTTTTTACAACTCTGTCAGTACATGTATAAAGCAAATTCCAATTACTCCTGCTAATCCTCTAACAGAATATTCAAGTGTCACATACCACTCTCCTGAACTCCACCTTTTTCTACTTTGAAATAGGAAGAGTATGCATCACATGAACTCTTTCTAAAATTGTCTAACTATGAATGTTCAATTCAAGAAAAACTGCACTCCCTCTGGACTAAAAACCAAAGCTTCTCAGTGGTACACCTCACAGATTCCCATTTGCCTATGGAGTGTCTCTCTGACTTATACTATAGATAACACTCCCTCCTTTTTCAAAAGCCACAGTTAGTCTTAAAAAGCTGAAAAAATAAATTAATTAATTAAAAAAGCTGAAAGAGAAGCAGGGCCATGGTGGTACACGCCTATAATCCCTGTACTCTGCGGAGGCTGAAGCAGGAAGATCACCTCAAATATGAGGTCAGCCTGGACTACACAATGAGACCTTGTCTCCAACAACAACGGCAGAACAGATGAAAGTCAAAAAAAAAAAAAAAAAAAAAAAAAAAAAAAAAAATCAACTCTCCCTCATAGCACAGTTTCAAATAAAGCTTGATATATCCATCAACTCAAAGAAAAATTCTACCTAAATGTAAGAGGATTATAATTTATTCATGTGTTACAGTATATCAGCATTCTTAACTGTCTGGAAGGAAGCTCTGATAAACGTAGAGAATTCAGGACATAAGAATGAATTAAGTACTTCAGAAAAAAGGGTTATAAAACCTCAAGATGTAACAGGAAAACATAAAAAGATAAAAACAGTTTGGAAAAGGCTAAAGAGCCCGGCATGGGAGTGCACACTTGTAACCCAGCACGCAGACAGCAAGGCCATGAGCTTGAGGCCACCAGGGCTATGTAAAGGAGTTCAAGGGCAGCCTGTAAGAAGACACTGTACCAAAACAAAAAAACAAAGAAAAGGGCTGAAAAGTGCTAGAGAGGTGGGAGGAAGGAGTACAAAGCTACTCAACAGAATTACATTTCAAATTCTTCTGAGGACCATCCTACACTCCTTTCAAGAGAACATACAGGCCAGCTGTGGCGCTGCACACCTATAATCCCAGCACTTCGGGAGGCTGAGACAAGAAGATTAAAAGTTTGAACCTAGCTTAAGCAATTTAGCAAGACCTTGTTTGAAAATTTAAATTTAAAAAAAGGGAGAAGGAGCTGGGGATGAATCTAACTTTTAAGGGCTCTACATTTAATCTTTAGTACCACAAAAAAAAGATCAGATAAATAAACTTGTTCCCCCAAATCCAAGGATCAAGATGAAATAAGGAAATTATAAAAGAGCCAATGTATTAAATCTGTAATAACTGGTTGGGGATATAGCTCAGCAGCACAGCAACTGCCTGAGTTCAATTCCCTGAGCCAAAAAAAAAAAAAAAAGAAGGCCCTGAGTTCAATTCCTGGTACCAAAAAAAAATCTCTATAATAACAAGTGTAGCATCTAGTAGGAATAAGGACAGGGGCAGGCTGGGGATACAGCTCAGTGGCATAAGCACCTGCTTGGCAAGCACAAGGTCGTGAGTCTGATCCCCAGTACCCCCCAAAAAAAAGAAAAAAGAAAAAAAAAAGAATAAGGACGGGGGTCATAAAACTATTTCAGGGACATACCTTGTGACAATTGCATATATGCATCGCTAAGTGAAAAAAATCAAATTAAGCAATAGAATATTTATGGACAGTCTTTTTGTTAATGTTTTAAGTACTTAGAAATAACATCCTAAAAACTTATAAATAACTTATCCAAGTTTGCTATGTTTGTTTAGCTTTAAAAAGCACTACCACTTCATAACCCCTAACTCCTCCTTTAAGTTATACTTACAGTTGGAGCAGGAGCCATAATGCTCATTGGTACAGGAATCATTGGTGTCCCTATAAAAAGAAAAGAGGACAGTGTGACTTAAGAACATTGTATCATCACAGTCTAATCACCGACATGGGTGACAGACAGCCTCACTAACAGTAGATATAAATGAAATACAGAACTAACCACTGAACAGTTCACCCTGAGTGTCACTCGGGCAGTGTGCCTATGTAGTGTCTATCCTGGCTGTGGCTCGGGTAGGTGTTATTTCAACCATCGATTCTTGTATGGAATAAATTTGATAAAATTGTCATTTTTCTATTTCCTGTAATAAAACTTTAAAGATTCAGTTTTTTGCCATCCTGTATTTAAATAATTAGATTAATGAAAATGAGTATGAATGAATAATATTTTTCTCAAAGCCAGGTTATCAGGTAAGTCTCTACCAACTTAAACTATTCTGAAAAGGCAACGGGTGTCTTAACATACTTTCACTTAAGGAGTACAAAGTTCCTAGATATCAATTCATGTCATCTGGTTGTCTGGTCCTTAAAATAAGCACTTTCACAAACACTTCAGTTATAGGTGAACAATGGTGTCAATGCATCTTTTAAAATTAAAAACACAGCACAGAAAATACTGATTTTTAAAAAGTAAAAGCACATTGTACAGGGGCTGGGGATTTAGCTCAGTGGCACAGTGCCTGCCTCGCAAGCGGGAGGTCATGAGTTTGATTCCCGGTACCAGAAAAAAAAAAAAAAAAGAAAAGAAAAACCACATTTTACAACCTTGTAGTTGGGCCTTGTGCTGCACACTTGCAATACCAGCACTCAGGGAGGGTAAGGCAGGAGGATGAAAGTTTGAACCCAACCTGGGCAAGTTACTGAGACCTCCTCTCAAAACAACGAAAAAGCCTGGGGACATAGCTCAGTGCAGAAACCTCAGGCTCAATACCCAGTACAGCAAAAATAAAAACAAAACACTCCATGTTATAAAACATGGTGACCACGGTTAATGATGCATTGTAATCTTAAAAATTGCTAAGAGACTTATAAGTAGCTCTTACCAAGAAAAGGTAAGTGTAAGATACCTCAATTTAGCCATTCTATACTGCACACAACTTTGAAACATGTACTTGATATATGTAATTTTGTTAATATGTAAGAACAAGTCCTTTGAAAATTAAAAACAAGCCAGGTGTGGAGATGCACGCCTATAATCTCAGCACTTGGGATACCGAGGCAAGAGGATTGCCACTAGTGGCAAGCTAGACAGTGTTACATAGTGAGTTCAAGGCCTACCTGAACTACATAGTGAGACTCTGTCGCAAAAAAAGCAAAAAAAGCTATTAAATGAGAAATTAATCTAGAAATCTTATTATTTGTGCTTCAAGAAAATGAAAATCATGTCAGGCTTGACAGTGCATGACTGTAACCCAGCTACCTAGAAGGATGAGGAAAAGGATCCCAAACTCAAACCCAGCCTGGGCTAGTTACTGAGAATGTGTCTCAAAATATACTTAAGCTGGGCGTGGTGGCACATGCCTGTAATCCCAGCACTCAGGAGGCTGAGGCAGAAGGATCACTGTGAGTTCGAGGCCAGCCTGGGCTACAAAGTGAGCTCAAGGCCAGCCTGAACTGCACGGTGACACCCTGTCTCAAAAAGACAAAATAAATAAATAAATAAATTTTTAAAAGGTTTAGGATGTAGGCTAACTGATACAGTACCTGCCTAATATATGAAAGACCCTAAGCTCAATCCCCAGTATAGTGGATTAGAATGGAATAGAAAGGAAAGGAACTAAAAAAATGGTATCAGTAATCTCAGCCACTGTTAGAGGAAGCTAATCTCTGAGCAGCCATCTGTTGCTCTAAATAACTCACTATGTAAGTTTAAGAGCTGTCAATGGGCTACCTACTATTGACAACTTTGAGATATCTGCTTTTAACTATACTGTTTGCTAACTAACAGTGGCTATACTGGGTCCTTTAGAAGTGCTTCCTTTTTTTGGTGGGGGACACTCTTTTTGAGACAGGGTCTCACTATGTAGTTCAGGTGCCTTGAGCTCACTTTGTAGCCCAGGCTGGTCTCGAACTCCCCACCTCAGCCTCAGCCTCAGCCTCCCAAGCACGGGGATTATCGGCATGCACCACAACGCCCGGCCAAAATGACTTTTTACTAAGTATAAATCAAGATTCCTATCAATTAGTGTAGTATAAATTGTCCACAGGAAAAAAGACTTTGGAATCAAACTTGGCTTCACTTTACTTTTACAGCTGTGGGACAGCACGTTAACCACTGCTTCAGTTTTATCAGTTCTACTAAGGTAATTACTTCCTCATATTACCTGTGAAATTGTGATAACTATTTATATGACCCACTTCAGCCGTATGGATATTCAAAATTGTACCTAAAAATAAATTATACCTAATTGATTTATATCTAAATTTTTTACCTTAATGTTGAAAAAAAAACATTCCTCCATTTACCAACTACAACCTATGATGACCCCTCTTCTATAGGTAAACTTTCTACTGAAGAAAGACATTCGAAGTGGGTATGATGCACACACTTGTAATCCCAGGACTCTGGTCGCTGAGGTAAAAGGACTGCCACGAGTTAGAGACCAGCCTGGGTTACAAAGTCGAGTTCAACGTCATCAAAACAAAACAAAATTTCAGAAAAAGACATACAGTACTAAAACCAATTTTACAGTAACTCCAAATATGTTTCCTATCCCAATTTCATTTCCTGAAACCATTTTATTTTTATGCAGCTGGAGATCCAACTCAAGGTCTGGACATGCTAGGCAAATCCTCTACCACTAAGCTCTATCACCAGCTAATTTCTTGAAATTCAGAATTTACACTGAAAAATGTAGTGTCATCAATTATAAAGATCAATGCATGCTAAAATAAAAAGGAAAATGCATAAAATGTGAATAGTATGTTACAATTGAGTTTTTTAAAAAAGGAAATGGGGGAGGGGCTGGGGATTTAGCTCAGCGGCACAGCACCTGCCTGGCAAGCACAGGTCGTCAGTTCGATTCCCGGTACGGGGGTGGCGGGGGG